ACGGATGAGTTCAGGGAGAGGTTGTTCAGTTTGGTAGGAAATTTGACCTTAAGCAAAGCGAATGAGGGCAAAATACAAACAGACCCTTCCGATCCGTCAGGAAAGGTTAGCAAACAAAAAAAAAAGAAAAAGGAAAACAATTGAAATCGTAAATAAAAGAAAATAGGACGATGAGGATAATGATGATGAAATGTTTGGAAAAATGGATTAGAAAATGATATAGGAATGGTATGTGAGAGGTGAGTGAGGACAATGGCTGCAGAGGTCAGCACTACTCGAGATACGATGGTGCGAGCGGTTGAAATGACATATAAATGGTATAATGGTGGCAAAATTATTGGCTTGATTGAATGAAAAAGGGAAACCCTGATTCATTGATACACATGATCTGAGAAATAGACAGATATGAAGAGATGGTGATAGATATGAAAAGACTGAGATAGATAGATAGATAGATAGATAGATAGATAGATAGATAGATAGATATGAAGAGACTGAGATAGGTAGACAGATAGACAGACAAACAGATAGATATGAAGAGATGATGAATATGAGACTGAGATAGGTAGAACAGACTGAGATAGATAGACAGATATTAAGAGATGATATGAAAATAGATAGATAGATAGACAGATATAGATAGATAGATATAGATGAACATAGATAGAAGGAACGATAGATAATGAAGAGACTGAGATAGATATGAAAAGACTGAAACAGATAGATAGATAGATAGATAGATAGATAGATAGATAGATAGATAGATAGATAGATAGATAGATAGATTTCTTAACATTTATTGATATAAAAATGTACATAAAATTCGGCACAAATGGCCGGGAAAAAAGCTGATGTGAGAAAGGGCTTGTCATCAAAATGTCTAACACTAAATTTGAAACACCTTTCACTTTCACCCCATGCGCACGAACAATATTCCATCCGTCCGTCTCTTTCATTCGTCGAACGCCACTCTAGGCTACATGGAGATCATCATTCATACCATAAATACTAAAAGGCAATGGAGAAGGCATATGAACAGCGAGGATAGAAGGAGACAGATCACACGACCGGTTTCATTTTACCAGGCTGAATCGTGAGGGAGAGTACCAAAAAGTGGGGACTTCCAACAGCGAGATTCTTACACAGTCCTTCCGAAATTGGCTGCCGTGCTAGCTTCATGTTTCTAAGTGCTTTTCGAACCTAGAATAAAACAGTTTATTTTAAATATTCATTTTCGAGGTAGGAACATTCCTATATGGAAGACTGGCGCAATACAATCTTTCTTCTCTATATTTTTTCGATTTAATTTAATAACTTGTGCCAGCCTAAATACATTTCGTAAATATCGGTGCTTCGGGTCAGGTTAAGAAAGATGCGCACGTTTAGATGAAAGGTTTTAAAAGCTATACTGATAGGCTGACGTGGTGTGTTCGATTACTAACAGATGCCAGCAACTGTGCCACTGCACTAGACACATTCAGTCATGTGCCATGCCTGACACATGCTTAGGCGATCATGTATCTTTCAATACATGACTGACGAGGCAGCTTTTTCCTGCAGTAGGTTGCCATTTCTTTCTGCGGTAGACCAGTTGCCATGCAATACTATAGAACCAAGTCTGTCCTGCTATTTACCCATAGCTGGGAGGAGAAGAAGAGGATTCATACCTTTCCCAAGGGTATTAGTACGTATGTGAGTATGACTGACGAGGCAGATTTTTTTCCCGCAGTAGGTTGCCATTTCTTTCTGCGGTAGATCAGTTGCCATTCAAGTCTATAGAATCCGGTTTGTCCTGCTATTTACCCATAGCTGGAGGGAGAAGTGAATTCATACCTTTCCCAAGGGTATTAGCACGTAAATGAATGTAATTCATGTAATTCGACTGGAAGGAAAAGTAAATATTTCATAAATATTTGCACATATTTTTGCACGCAAAACAAGGAGATAATGCCACTAAGAGGCAAAGTTTTACTCGGGGTGAAAGAAAATGGTAAGTTTGTAGAAGGAATCGTAAACCCAGTCGGAAACAGGAGAAAATGGTTAAACCTCTAATCATGTTCAAAAGACGAGGAAGGAGTTCGAAACTATGCTTTGAATGGGACAGGTATCCTATTTGATGACATAATATCCAAATATATATATATTGAAGTACAGAGAATCCAATGGTTAGAGCGTGTAAGGAGCGAGAAATGAAAATAGGAGCCAAAAGAACCTTTCTACTCACAATCAGAAAGCTGAAATTTACGGGGCACATAATGAGGAAGAAGGGCTTGGTAAATTTGACCCTCACAGAGCATATCGGAGGCAAGAGGCACAGGAAGAGACGATGGGACGCCTACTTGATGTGCTTCTACTAATGAGTAGTCAGAGCCCGGTGGATGTGTGGGTGTGGGTGTCAGAGAGAGAGAGAGAGAGAGACAGTGTGTGTGTGTGTGTGTGTGTGTGTGTGTGTGTGTGTGTGTGTGTGTGTGTGTGTGTGTGTGTGTGTGTGTGTGTGTGTGTGTGTGTACGTACGTGCGTGTGTAGATAGAAAGAGAGAAAGACAGAGGGGAGATAATGAAGGTAGGAAACGTAGAAATATAACAGTGTCTGGGTAATCGTTAGCATCAGGTGCTTCAAATTAAATTAAAGTCCCAGGTGATAGTTCTAGCCACACACACACACACACACACACACATATATATATATATATATATATATATATATATATATATATATATATATATATATAGAGAGAGAGAGAGAGAGAGAGAGAGAGAGAGAGAGGTAGGTAGGTAGGTAGCTAGATATCTATCATATTTGATGGAATGAAAAAAGATGTCTATTTGATGGAATGTAAGATACCTTTTTTCAATATATATATATATATATATATATATATGTGTGTGTGTGTGTGTGTGTGTGTGTGTGTGTGTGTGTGTGTGTGTGTGGAGGCACGGTGTAGTAAAGTATAGTGACGCGGATTGACGCGGATTGAGGAACTGGAGAGCCGAGTTCGAATTCCAGTCGAATCTATTACATTCACTTACGTGCTAATACCCTAGGGAAAGGTGTGAATCCTCTTCCCCCCAGTTACTGGTAAATAGCAGGACAGACTGGGTTCTATAGCCTTGGATAGCAACTGGTCTAGGGGAAGGACAACTCTGAATTCAAAACCTGCGGAGGGTCGTTTGGGTACCTTGTGGCACGCAATGCACAAGGTCTTTATATTCGGCCCTTCAAAAAGTGTAGATGGTCCTGCATGTAGTGGTCTTTGGCTGTCGGTTCCTAGAAACTGAGCCGCTTGACCCTCATACGTTAAATACGACGGGAGAGTCCACTATATATACATATATTAATAAAAAGTATCTTACGTTCCATCAAATATGATAGGTGTCTAGCTAGCTATCTGCCTACTTACCAGTTTTTTTGTTGTTTTTTTTACTAATAGTTCACTTAATACAAGGCCCAAGAGCCACTCAAGGTAGAAGGTTAATGAATGAGTTTGCATGAACGTAAGAAATGATGATTATGATGATATAGCAAAGATAATAATTCTTAACAGACCTGAAGAGGGTAAAATTGTAACGATCGAGAAAGCATCATCTCAGGAATTTATTCCACAAAGTAAAGGATTGATTTATTTTGTTTTTTACAGTTTATCAATTTTTTTCAGGTGATTTAAAGCTAGAAAATATTTTTAGATTGTAAGAATTTTTTTTTGGTGGGGTGGGAGATTATTATATTGTTTAGTGATACAAGTCTTACTTCTTAATCCATAGTTGGGGAGAGAAGAAATCGGTTCATACCTTTCCCAAGAGTATTTGCGCGTATCGTGGATATAAAGGAACCAATGAAAATTGGTACTCGGCTCTCCGATTAACAATTCCGAGTCTGTTCCACCACCCGCACATTCAAGTTTATCGTGCCTCGTATTTCAAAACGGTCACCCATCAAGGTAATGACCAAACTCAATGTTGCTTAAGATCGGTGATCGGTGTTTCAACGTGATATGGCCGTAAGCCTCAAACACACACAGTTGTTTAAGTTTTTTAAAAATTTCGAGAAATTAACTTTTGACCCACTTAAGGGACCTCGACAAAAAACGCAATACCCTAGGTTTTAAAGTGATTTTTTTAAAGTGAAAAATCATTCTAGATGTTTTTATTTTAGTTTTTATTTTAAGCTAATAGATTATAAAAAGATTGTCGTTAATGAAAGCGGGGTTCATTAAATAATTTAAATAGCGAAACTAATAGAGACGGTATGCTCTTAAGCTCTGTGGGTGTTCAAGATTTTCTTTAGAAATAATCCCTACTTCTATAAGGAAGTGCAAATAAGAATTGTTTTTGCAACTTATGTACGCGCGAATTTGTTGAAAGTCTTTTGTTTAAAAGCACATGCTACTGCAAATTATTTCACATACTGCAACTTTACGCTTCTGAATTGCCACGTGGGTTTATTCATTGTTTTCAATACAGCTGAGGAAAGGATCGTCCGCATTGACTCGATGAACCCGACTAAAGTCGATATATATATATATATATATATATATATATATATATATATATATATATATATATATATCAGAAGAAAGAAAAAATGACATACACGCGTATTTCTCTCTCACCCTCTCTCTCTCTCTCTCGTATATGTATATATATATATATATATATATATATATATATATATGTGTGTGTGTGTGTGTGTGTGTGGAGAAAGTGAGAGAGTTACAACTAATCCCAAAGTGGTTGTTGAAAGAACATCGTCTCCACTCGTTTCCCTCCCCAACGCCCCCCCCCCACCAAAAGAACAGAATTAAAAGAAAAAAAATTGTTTTCCAAATTTGGTTTCTGAGTTTTCCTACTGTGACGTAGGCGGCGGAGGCGGAGGCGGTGGCGGAGATGGAAGGTGGAGACGGTGACGGCGCCTATATTTTCCTTAAAGTCACGACGTTTCATTTTGTGATGGTATTTAAGAAATCTACCCACCTCAGGGAACCAGAACAAGGCTGGCGTTGGAGTTTTGAAATGGAGAGGGCGGGGGAGGGAGGGGAAGATAGTCGGAAGGGTAGGGTGGGGGAAGGACAGAAAAATTGGTAAGGTCGCGATAGGGGTGTGCCGGGGTTGATGAAGAAGAACTCGGGGTTCTTTTTGGAGAGAAAGTAGTCGCTTTTTGATTTTTCTCTGCAATATTTTTATTTTAGGATTGGTTTCTACAGTTCAGATTTGAAAGAGAAAAATATAAACATAAAAACGGGGACTTAATAACACAAGAAAAATGATTCGTTAATTTCTTCATTTATTTTTTTTTTTTTTAAATCTCTTTTTTATTTATTTGTTCAATATTTTTATTTTATTTTCTTGGATATAAGGAACAGTGGCGGAATTAAGGTGAATATTGTGGTATCAATGGACACACGGCAGTAAGGTTGTTTTTTGGGGTTTTTTTTCATGACTGTTTACTTATTTTGGGAGGCATTCCTTCACACGTGTACACGGGATAATGTGTAACATCAGTGTTGTTGTCCACGATTTCGTCGGAAGACGAGGAAATTCATATCGATGATGATGACAAGTAAATTGTAGCAAAGGGACGTAAAGAACTCTAAAGATGTTGCTGATGATGATGGTGGTGGTGGTGGCGGCGGTGATAATGATAGCGGCGGCGATATTAGCGATACTGCTGCTACTAAGGCTGCTGCTGCTGCTGCAGAGAAGCGGAAAGCTGAACAGTGAAGAAGAAGAAGAAGAAGAAGAAAAGAAAAGAAAGAAGAAAAAAAAGAAAGAAAGAACGAAAGAAAGAAAGAAAGAAAGAAAGAAAGAAAGAAAGACTATTGCTACGGTCATCCATAAAGATACCAGGTGGGAGGTGACTGAGGACAAGTGTTCGGAAATTGTAGATTACCATGAAAAGAAATGAGTGTCCAGGGTAGAAATAAAGAAAAAAGAAAGAATAGTGGAAAGAAAGAAAGAAAGAAAGAAAGAAAGTATAGTAGAATGAAAGAAACAAACAAGCAAATAAAGAAAGAAAGAAAGAATAGTAGAAAGAAAGAAACTAAGAAAGAAAGAAAGAAAGAAAGAAAGAAAGAAAGTAAGAAAGAAAGAAAGAAAGTATAGTAGAATGAAAGAAAAAAAAGAAAGAAATAAAAGAAAGAAAAGAAAATAAAGAAAGTAGAAAGAAAGAAAGAAAGAAAGAAAGAAAGAAAGAAAGAAAGAAAGAAACAAAAAACAAACAAAGAAAAAAAAAAAGAAAGAAAGAAAGAAAGAAAGTAAGAAAGAAAGAAAGAAAGAAAGAAAGTAGAATGAAAGAAAGAAACAAAGAATAACAAACAAAAGAAAAGAAAAAAAAACAAAGAAAGAAAAAAAAAAAAAGAAAGAAAGAAAGAAAGACTATTGCTACGGTCATCCATAAAGATAGCAGGAGGGAGGTGACTGAGGACAAGTGTTCGGAAATTGTAGATTACCATGAAAAGAAACGAGTGTCCAGGTTAGAAAAGTACCGTTCTTTGAAGAAAAGAAAAAAGGAATCAAGTTAGCACCATGTTTGTAGTAGTAGTATTAGTAGTAGTAGAAGAAGAAAAGGAGAAAGAAGAAGTAGAAGAGGAAGAAGGAGAAGAAGGAGAAGTAAAAAACAACAATCAATAGTTCAAAATAAAATAGCTCGACGAGAGTAAAATAGACCAAGAATCATAGTAGTTATAGTAATATTAGTAGAAAGGGGGAAAATGTCTCGAGTATAATATTGATATGAATACTAATAAAATTAAAGTAAAAAAAAAAAGGCCCTGAAAAGAGAGTTGCTAATGGTAGTCGTCATCGTACAGGTAGTATTACTATTTATAGAAAATTACTATGATGGCGACGACGAGGGTGGGGGGAGATGGGTTGATGAAGATGCCACGATTATCAAAAGATAATGGGACAGAAGACGGCATTTGTCAGAAGAGACAGAGAGCGAGGAAGAAAAAAAAAAAGAAAACATGAAACTGAAAAAAAAAGACAGGAAAAAAAAGAAAAAGAAAGAGAGAGAAAAAGAGATGAAAAGGCACCTCTTTTTTTTTTCCTTGGAAGGGAGGAGAGAGAGAGAGAGACGTCTTTCTCTGTCATATCACCAAACTTGTGTGTGTGTGTGTTTGTGTTGTACCATCTTTGAGAGAGGCTGACAAAGGCGGTAATCAATCAATATTAAACAAGTGAGCTTCGCTTGCAGCCATTGCATGTGCATATACATGCATTGCATGTGCATATACGTGTATTTAGTTGAAAGTCAGCGCACGTGTGAGAGTCTTCAAGTGCAACGAATGCATGCGTCATACTCTCTCTCTCTCTCTCTCTCTCTCTCTATCTATCTATCTATCTCTCTGTCTCTCTCTCTCTCTCTCTATCTATCTATCTATCTCTCTATCTCACTCTCTCTCTCTCTATCTATCTATCTATCTATCTCTATCTCTCTCTCTCTATCTATCTATCTATCTATCTATATCCCCTTTTCCCTCTAACTTTTTCTCTCTCTTTCTCTCTCTGAGTGCAAATGTATTCGAGGCTTCATTTTTTTTTTTTCATTTTTTTTGTTACTCATTTTTCGAAAATGTTTTGGAGGAGTGTATTTCTGTTTGTGTGCACATGGAATCGCGCGTTCAAATGCAAGCAAAGTCGAGGCACTCATTTTCAAACGAAAATAATATAATAATTCTACCACAAAAGACGAATCTGAAGAAGTCTGTCAAATCTGTAAGCTGAAGCAATTGCACAATGCAAAATGAGCGATAAGTAATTATTTCGACAGAACGCAAATCATTCGATTTTGTTAAATTGTTAAATTTGGACACTCATCAACCGAACCATCTTCAGAGAAGTCCAGAATGACATTGACGATAAGAAAATATTCATGTTTGATATATATATATATATATATATATATATATATATATATGTGTGTGTGTGTGTGTGTGTGTGTGTGTGTGTGTGTGTGTGTGTGTGTGTGTGTTTGTTTGTGTGGAGAGGGAGAGTGGGAGAGACAAAGAGGAGTGAAAGAGAGAGAGAGGGTATGTTAAATTATTTGACATATACGTACGCTCCAAACATATATTTCAAATCTATCTATCTATATATATATATATATATATATATATATATATATATATATATATATATATAAGCGTACATAAGAATGTTTTGAATGCAATTTATAATAGCTATCTAGTAATATATACACACACATATATATATACATATATTTATATATGAACCTAAAGATATATATATTTACACACACACACACACACGCGCACACACACACACACACACATATATATATATATATATATTGGGGTTTAATGTTTAGCAAGCATGTCTCGCTAGATCAATCTTGATAGAATGACATTGTTGATAAGAAAATATTCCTATTAAATATGTTTATATATACATACATACATACAAATATATATATATATATATATATATATATATATATATATATATATATATATATATACATATACACACATATATATAAATTTTATAAACACACAGACACACATATATATATATATATTATATACGAAGATATATATATTATATATATATATATATATATATATATATATATATATATATATATATATATTGGGATATGTTCAATATCTAGTTAAAACTCACAGCTCTTTCGATCCTGTCACTGGATCTGTCCACTGTGCCACGTGTCCTTAAGGACACGTGGCACAGTGGATAAAAGCGTTGGTTAGATCGAGTGTCAGTTTGAGTTCAATACCTGGTTAAGGCAGTGGAGAACTTGGTGAGGTGAATTAACAGGAGATAACTGATAACTGACATCCATTAAAACATGGCACGTGGAACTAGAACAGTCTACCCCAGTGAGCGAAATAAATGGTTCAGTTCGACACTCCAACCACCTGAAGAAGGCCGGAGCGTACAACGGCCAAAACGTTGTGATAAATATGGTAACAAAGATGAGGACAAAAGTCCGAATAATGTAAATCGTATCTATAATCTAGTACAGTTTTTGAGATTCTGTAGCGTCAGCCCACAAGGTTCGAGAAAGTTTGGCTCTTGCTAAGTCCTATAAGCTTCATTCACTCTAAGCTATTTATCTATATTTAAGCTATAGATCGGTTGTATATTGCTGACCGTTTAGATATTTCTAAACGAGTTTGGCGACAGACATGACATTCATATGAAATTCTCGATATAATGAAGTTATTTAAGTACATGTTTTGTGTTTTCATGATAATGTTTTCGTTTAGTAATGCCACTAAAACAGAAGGGGTTACAAGGTGTGGAAGAATTAGAAACAGAAACTGACCAGAAAGAAAAGAGTGGACAGTAGATGGCGATTGACATTGCAGTTAAATTTTTACAGATTAAATTTGGCTGGAAAGCTTTGAGCCAGAAAGGATTTCCACAAGCGAGAAGTGCGAGGGAAGAAACTGTTAGAATAGAATTTACGGCTTTATCTAGCCAGCTCATCTGTAAACTGATGAGATCTCGACGCCAGTCTAGTGTTGTGCTTAAATTCAATAAAACTAGGTACAATAGAGAAGAGTTCTTCCAAACAATTACAATTAAAATATTTATAATAAAGACATAGAGAGGTAACCTTACGGCGGTGAATAAGTGACTGGAGCTGAGATACCTGGATATTGCTATAACTGATCCATACACCGAGGTATTTGAAGAGTTTAATATTTACATATTCCAATTTCTGATTTTTTATAATGGATTCAGAGCATCTGCGCCATCAATGATTTCATTTTTATTCTGGAACATATTTTCTGTTTTAGAACTGTTTGTTCTGAGTCATAGTCTGTAGAACACACACTAAAGGATGTTGGATTTTTATACATTTTTGCTGCCAGTATTATTTTCAGTTGAAATTTATAACATTTTCCTATTTTCTTTTTTTTTTTTCAGATTTTTTCAGATTTTTTCAGATTTTTCAAGTCCAGGATCTTTTATCGTTCTTTCTAGTATTAATGAGGGTTTCATTCCGAATTTTTTATCTGTAGTAGTGTGGAATGATAAATCCTGATTATGTTGTCATTTTCTCTTCAAGTTACACGTGCTATCCATTTTAGTTGTTGCTCCTGTTGGTAGTCCTTAAGTGATGGGGTTTCTCTTATTTGGTACAGCTCTTTGTGATTCTGTAGCGCCAGTTTCAATGTTTAAAGAATGATGATCCTTATCAAAACCCGAGGGTATTTACTCACTTAAAATATTATTTCACCATTAATCTTAGGATGAGGTTGTATACAGCTGATAGTTTAGATATTTCTGAACACGTTTGGTGCCATGCATGGAATCCATATGAAAGTCTCAATATGACGAGGTTATATAAGAATGACTCGAGTTTTGAATTCGTAGCAATAGATAGATAGATAGATAGGAACAGACGAACAAACAGATAGATAGATAGATAGATAGATAGATAGATTCAAAAGATATAAAGATAAACTTAGATAGATAGATAGATAGATAGATAGATATGGACAGATTCAATAGATAGATAGATAGATAGATAGATAGATAGATATGGACAGATTCAATAGATAGATAGATAGATAGATAGATAGATAGATAGATAGATAGATAGATAGGTATATACACAGGTACATACATATGAACAGATTCAAAAGATATAAAGATAAACTAAGATAGATAGATAGATAGATAGATAGATAGATAGATAGATAGATAGATAGATAGATACACAGGTACATACATATGAACAGATTCAAAAGATAAACTTAGATAGATAGATAGATAGATAGATAGATAGATAGATAGATAGGAACATATTCAAATGATATAAAAAGATAAACTTCTCGATTCGAGTTTTGGTTTTGTAGCAACTTGCGGTATTGAGCGAAACTATCTCTAGCACAGTCTATTCTATGTTCAATTTCCTTTTCTCCTTAACTTAATTTGTTATAATTGATCCATACGCCCAGGTATCTAAAGTGTTTAGTATTTACTAATTTCATATTCTCTACTTTGATGATGAATTCAGGATAGGTACCGTCACTACTTTCATTCCAATTCCAGATCATAGTCCCTGTTTTCAAAAGGTTTTATCTTCTTTCCTGTTTTGTGGAACACTTGTTAGTCTATGCTGATTCACTATGCCCCAACGTTAGATATATTTTTTTTTAAATCGCCTTTCTGCGATGATCGACGTGGCATGTAATAGATCAAGAAACTTTTGGACAAATCTCGTAACAACAATAAATAGATTCTGTAGCGTCAGCCCACAAGGATCGAAAAAGGATGGTTCTTGCTCAGTCTTATATGCTTCATTCGCTCTAAGCTATTTTGATCATTCATACCTGACCGTTTAGATATTTCTGAACGAGTTTAGCGATAGACATGACATTCATATGAAATTCTCGATATAATAATGTTATTTAAGTATATGTCTTGTGTTTTCATGATAATGTTAACGTTTAGTAATGCCACTAACACACAAGGGGTTATAGGATGTGAAAGAATTAGGAATAAAAACAATAATGATAAGTAGAAAGAGAAGAGAATAGTCAGGTGGACAGTAGATGGCGATTGACATTGCATTTAAATTTTTACAGATTAAATTTGGCTGGAAAGCTTTGAGCCGGAAAGGAATCCCACAAGCGAGAAGTGTTAACTGTTAGCATCAAATTTAAGGCTACATCTAGCCAGCTCAAATGTAAATTCATGAGATTTCGACGCCGGTATACTTTTGCGCTTAAATTCAATAAAACTAGGTACAATAGCGAGGGGCTTATCTGAATAATTACCATGAAAATATTAATAAAAACGACATAGGTAACCTTATCTTGGTTCCTATTCGGTGATCGACGTCACATGTAATAGATCAAGAAACGTTTGGACAAACCACGTAACAACAATAAAAAAGCTGTTACATGTATTGACAGCCTTGACAGAGGTCTATACTGATCGATAGCGAAGTTAAAGTAAAATTACGCGTTCGTTTCTTCGTCAACAAAAACAAAAAGGCAATAAAACACATAAACAGGACCCCCCCACCGACATTCCACGACGTCGCAGAAATTGCATACCCGCTGGTATGAACGCTATGACGTCATCCATGGGTGAGATAGATCATTTGTCAGTTCCATTGGAATGCCTCTTGCCTCCATTGATTCAAAACATTTGTTATTCGCAAATAAATAAGTATAACCCTTTGACATAAGATGTAAGCTTCCTAAGGGCTTGATATGTAACAGAGGTGTATTGGGGTCTGCTCATTGTCGCAATAATTATAGATAGATAGATAGATAGATAGATAGATAGATAGATAGATAGATAGATAGGAACAGATTCAAAAGATATAAAGATGAACTTAAATGCATTGCAATAGCTAAAGATGTCTCCCAGAATCTAAACCAAGTATCAAGAAACACGAAAATATCAGTAGAAACAAAGAAAACAATGTTGAACTGCTATATAATATCAGTCCTCATGTATGACAGTGAAAACTGGACAATTTCCTAACAGAGGACCTCG